TAGAGTCTCAGGTACAACTGACTTTTCTTTTTTTTCTGAGGATAATTATCTGATGCCTTGATCATTCCATGTTCTACTTCACTCATGCTGTCACCTTCTTGTTTATTCCACTTTTTTTTGAGATAAAATAAATAAAGATGGAGATAGGGAAACTCCTAGAATTGCAGAATGTTAGACTGAAAAGGACCCTTGTACAGGCCTTTCATTTCATAGATGACAGAACAAACAGAGCCTTTGGGGAGTAAAGTGACTTACTCAAAGTTACCCAGATGTCTAGACCGTCATCATAATGCCTTTCTCATCGTACCCAATTGCTTCAAATCAACCCTTTTTGCTCTTTGCAAGTAGTTCTAGTGACAGCTTTGATGGAGAAAAGAGTAAAGCTATTGTAAAAAAGATAAATTTTTACATTATCTATGAATTATGTGCTATATAGCTTAGAGAGTGAGACTGACTTGCTCAAGGGAAAGAAACAGGATTTCCTTGCTCAAAGAAGTATAAGTTGCAGGGCAGCTTATGCACAGTGGATAGAGTACTGGCCTTGGAGTCAGGAAGACCTGAGTTCAAATCTGGCCTCAGACACTTGACACTTACTAGCCATGTGACCCTGGGCTTATGCCCTTACCTAGCAAAAAACAAAACAAATACATAAGTTGCTTCACCTCAGGACCACATGTGTCTTTGAAGGATTTCTCTCTTTTCTTTCAGATAATTTTTCCCGAATTTAATTTTGTTGGTCAGTTGTTCAGTCATGTCCAGCTCTTTGTGACCCTGTGAACTATAACATACCAATATTGTCCATGGGGTTTTCTTGGCAAAGATACTAGAGTGGTTTACCATTTCCTTCTCCAATGGATTAAGGCAAACTTAAGTGACTTGCCCAGGGTCACATAGCTAATAAGTGTCTGAGGCCATATTTGAACTCAGGTCTTACTAACTGCAAGCCTAATGCTTGAGCCTGCTAGGCAAGCAGAGGTTAAGTGACTTGCCCAGAGTCACACAGCTAGTGAGTGTCTGAGGCCAGATTTGAACTCCAGTCTTTCTGACTCTGGGCCCAGTGCTCTATCCACTGAGCCATCTGTCTGCCTCTAATCTAATAATGGATACCTGCATTTTGGAGTCAGAAGATCTGGATTGGAATTCCTGGCTCCACCACTTCAAAGTCCTTTAACTGTTCTGGGGCTCTGTGTTTTCGCCTGTAAAATGCACATAATAATATTTATGCTAGCTGCTTCCAGGCATTGGGAGGCTCAAATGAAATAATGCATGTAAAGTACCTGGTAAACATCAGCAATAATAATACTCACAGTGATGTTATTACTGTTAGATATCCCTCCCCTCCTCTGTCCCCTAAACTCAAAGGCTATCCCTTGAAGTTTCACTGGAGGATCTCCATTCCAGCTGGCAAGGTTTTTGCTTCAGAAACCGGTATCCTCTGGTGGAAATGGGGAGCCTCTGTATATATGGGGGGCAGGGACCCCCAGAACAGTTTGCTCCATGCTCTCCTAATCCCCAGTTCTGTCCACTGTTCTAGTAAGTGCATCATCAGGCAGCTGTGCAGAGGGTTGACAGCTTGCCAAGAACACGGGAACACAGTGAGGGGGCCCCTTGTCACAAGGGCTGGACCTGAGCCTTGAACTCTGAACTCTGGCTCTCTTCTTGGGTCTCTCGTTCCCTAACAACTTGTCTTATCTTAGATCCTTACATGTGTGGGGAACTGTAACGGCATGATTTTTCTTGGTTCTTTCCTCCCCTGGGAGCTGCTTCTAGACAGGCAACATTCAGACTATTTCAGAAGGTAATCAGAAACCTCTCTGGTATCTTCTAGGAAACCCTCATGCTAAACTTTTAGGCCTGGGGAGGGAATGGCAATGTCTTGAGCCCTGGAAACTCTGCCTAAGATTCTGATATCAACACCAGAGACCTCTGGTCAAGCTTGTTTCTTGAGCCAAGAGGATTATCCTGGGGAGAACTCTTAGATCTGATGGAAAGATTTTTAGAAGATAAAAGTATTTCAAAGTGTCATGAAGGAGTATGCAAACTGTCTTTGGTATTTCTAAGGCTACTTATCCTCTAACTTTCCTTGCTCCACTTTTAAAATCTTTAGCATCAGACTCAGTTTTGTGGAGTTTCAAGTTTATCAGAGAGCTTTACCATGGCCAAGATTTCTTCTCCATTCATTCCTACTTTTTTCTCCCTTACCATTCAAAATTAATCCAAAGATCCCCTTTCTTACCTCATCCCACATTGAAATCTTTAGTTATTGTACTTATTCAGTGTTCCTAAATCATACCCATGTTGGTTCTAGCTCCTTTTCAGTCCTGACTCCTTGCCCATCTGTAACTCCAGTCTTTGATCTTTCTCTTCCCTAGCAGCAACTTCTGGCCCTGAGAACCCAGCATGAACCAGTGAAGGACCTTCAGGGTGAGCAGAAGGCACAATAGACTAGAGCCATGATCATCTCACCACCTTCTCTGGCTCTTTTGTGGCTCATTTCCACAGGGATGAGAATAAGTAGGATGCCCAGGAGTACCTACTGATACTACCTATCAGGTGTTACAGTGGTACAAATAAAAGGCTGGGTAGAACCCAACAAAAAATTTTTTAAAGTCAAGCCAGAAGGGTTTAAGGGACATTTTGTTGGGTTTGGGAGAGAAGAGGGTAGGAAACCTATGGGTGCTGGTTAACATTACATAGTGGAGCCGACATGGGAAAAAACAAAGATTGGGCAGCTTTGATGTGGGAAAAGGGATAAGAAGTGGGAATTAATTACTGGCGAATGGAAACAAGTATATATACTTGGGGAACTTTACTGTAATCCAGGGCCTAGGGGAAGACAAAGTTGGATTAAGGGGCAGGGTCTGGGGTGATTTGAATATACTGTATACTCTTCAGTCATTTGAGTTAACAGTTTGTAATAGGGTAATAGATTTTTGTAATAGGGTAGTCCTGGGCTGTCATAGTGTAGGGAAACATTCAGGCTGAGAACTGAAATCCTCTGAAGTCAGGAAGTGCCTGGGGGAGGGTCCGTGTAGCAACAGGACCCCAGTCTCCTGCAAGGCTGTAGGATTGCTTAGTCCTGTTTTTCAGGATCTACACACTCTTGGGGATGTTTTTCTAGCTGTTAAAGCTGAATCATAACATGCACAGGCTGTGCCAGCCAGCTGAGATAATAACAATAACAATAATACCCAATGTTTATTTAGAGGACTATTCCTCTCCTCCCTCCCTGCATCCCCCAACAGCCTCTTTCCCCTATCCCTCCATCCCCTTTACATTCAAAATCTTGTCCATTTCCTTGACTC